ATTTAAAACGTTTTACATAAAAAACCAATACATTTAATACGTTACATTAATTAGGGGGCATCTGAAGAACTTTACAGACACGTTCAACTCCTGCTATTGTGTAAATTATTATTTCATTAGTGCAAAAAATGTGTTAACAATTTGAAAAAAGGAAACAAGCACCAGGGGTGTAATGCACATTTACCTGTTGCACAATTCTTTAAAATGGAGGGTTCTGTATATAATAGCAAGAACCCAAGATAAAGTTGGCCCTAAATGTCTATTATACAAAATGCAGATATTACAATACCAACAAAAAAAAACAGATACAAAAAAACTGGCCCAAATAGACAATTGTCCACGGAGATTAACTGAGTCTGTTTTGTTAGAGAAGAGCAAAGCAAAGCATTAATAGCAGAATAATGAGTCAAGCAACTGTTATGTTTAGGAACCTTTATTAGATGAATTTATTTTTGCAGACTTTGAACTCCCGTTAATTGTAACTGCCCGGTTAGATTGGATTGGTTAAAAAATATTTGTTAATGCAGCAACATTAGCGTTAATATAAAGCTACAGATATATTGAACAGCACATTGTGTAGCTAGTAAACACTTACCTGTGGGCCCGTTTCTAACTCCCTGGGTGCGCTATTAAAAGATTCCCCGGGGAAACCAACACCTGTTTATCATTCCGGTAGGGTCACACCAAGCAGCATTGAGAAGGGGGTCGTGAATAAATATTAAATGTATGTATGGTAACTTTCTATAATTATGTTAATTAATATATGTTGACTATTTCTGATGTCATGTTTATTCATGTAAGACTTGTGTTTAGTTATTCCATGTCTGAATATAGCACCCCTTTTTTGGTAGCACCTAAGGGTGGGGTCAATATAACGCTGCACTTTTTCGCCGGTGCAAGTAGTGCGGCCCTGGCAGCAGGCCTTTCTGTTCAGCGTGTGATGCTATGTACATATGTGTAAATTAATTCCCCAATGCTGCTGTTTCAGACTCTGCCTCGCCCTCCTAAGGTGAGTCTAAAAAAGCTTTTGCATTCAATGGGAGGAGAACTACACACAAATTGTGTTTGTTAGTGTATAATTTACTTTTTTCTTTATTTTGTTCTCGTTTTGGACCGTTTTAATTAAACACAAATAATAAATGAACATCTATGATTGTTTTTTCCAGGCCCCGAAATGCTGTATCAAATTAAAATGTTTTAAAGGTCTTTATGTTAATTATATATCAATCAAGCAAATAAGATGGGTACTTGGGTGACCTTTTTGCTTTTCTTTGCCTTTCCCCCCCCCCCTTTTTGCTTCATTGTTTATTTGTCTTTAAGTTGTTAACTTAAGCATCTTAATGTCAATAGCAAAATATTGTCCACAAAGTCAGATAATGTACCTTATTATTTCTTCTAAATGAGGAAACAAAGATATGCCTTATGTGTATTGTTTGGCTCTTATTTAAAGTAATGGAAGATATTTGTCAGCTGTTTTCATATCTGAACCTCACTCTGTGATAAGTTTGACAAAGCTGATAAAATCTTAAGGTGGTTGTAAGAACCAAATACACACCCTGAGCAGTGTGTGAACCTATCTGGATATAGGATGTAAAGTACAAGGAAAGAATAAGACAAGCACCTGATTTACAGCAGTGACAGAAAAATAATTTCAGAATTTTCTTTTTTTTAATTGTGTTTCAGCATTAGAGAATGGGTAGAGGGCAGAGAAAATGTTGATTTCATACATAACAAATACACACAACTCAACTTGCAAAGTACAGCAACACCAATGAACCCAGACTGCTCGTGAACAAAGGTAACAGCGCCATAAAACACACACAGTAGAATGCAGCATGACACAGATTATGTAAAGTCACTCATGATAAATGTATTTTGTACATCACAACATTTGGAGGGGTTTTCAGTCACAGTACAAGAATAATCGTAAAAGCTCACACCCAAGTCCCATTGAGGTACAGTCATGCTATCGGGCTTCAAAGCTGGATCTGTGTCACTTGTTGGGCCAAGTCTTCTTCCATTGGCACTTAAACTACTATAAACCTGTTCATAGGAGTTTTATATTATACCCATTTAAGCATTATATTATGGACAAAAATAGAATTGTTATACATAATAATTTGGTTACATCTACCTATTTATAACTTGACTGGATGCAACCTTTGATCAACACAGTGACATGCATATGTTGTTCCCATAGGTGTTTCCCACCAACCAAACAAAGCCTGAGGCCTGTACTACGAAGCCGGTTCAACATAACCTGGATATGTTTGAGTTAGCCGGTTGGCCTAATCCAAAACATACGCGCTCTCGCTAAACGGTCCTACGACGCTGGTTATCAAGTGGATCGCTCAAGCCAGCCGTGTCCTATCTAGTTAAGTGCGCGTTCACATGAAAGGGGTGGTATTTGGAGCATTCGACCAATCTCAAACATGGACAAGCCGCGTACTGACAGCGCAGCGCCATATTTCCTGAATGAAAAGTGAACTTTAATATTAGTCAAATATGAAGAAGTTAAACTTTAAACATCCATGACTTAAACACTTTATCCAGGATAAAAGCCACATAGCTGCACCTGCAAGGTGAATACAGCTGGTAAAAGAAAAAGCGTTTGAATGCGTACATTAACAGGTTTATGATATCACTGCCCCGTTAAGACACTAGTGGATCTGACTTTAATTACATTTGACTCGAGTGTTTCGTCAACTTAATGTGTTGCTTAAAATAATACTTCTGCATACAGTATGTGACACTGTGAGTGTTGCACGTCCAGATACGGCTCAAGAAGCTGACTCAAATAAGGAAATATATGATACATTATGATGTGATATGAATGATAATGGGACACATCGACGTCTGCACTCACAGTGCCGCGAGGAGGAGAAGACAACAGCCTTCACGTGGCCTCCTCTGTGAGTAGCAAGAAATGGTGCAAGACCAACTTGCGAAACGAATGTCGCCAACCAAACGTCGAGCTGGTAGGCCTAGGAACGGCGGACGGGCAGTCATCCCGACTGTCGATAACCGAGGCCTGGCAGTGCTTCAACTCAATGTCGAGGGCCTAACCACCGCCAAACTCGAGGTTGTGCGTCACAGTGCCGCGGACTGTACTTAATGTTACTCTGATCCGGTTACTTATGTTGTGGCAGATATTTAAGTAAGCTTTCTTAATGCTAATGTTATAATAGTCAGATTGCTCTGAAGATGGGAGGTGATACTGTATTCTATTAATGTTCACGTTCACACAGTCGGTGATTTTTGCCGGCCGTCTTTCCTGCAACGGCAGTTTTTCCTGTATTTCCTTTCTCCTGTAATATGACTTGATAGCTTTAAACTCCGCACACGGAGCTCTGATTGGTCAGCAGGCGGTGCTTTCACTGAGTTGATCTCTTAGCCTGCAACCTAACCTGCTCCGGACCAGGTTAGCCGCTCAGCATAAGTTACCATGGAGATCTAGCCCGCTAAAAAGAGAACCAGCGTCGTAGGACCGGAAACCCCGAGTTTTCCCTGAAGTTAGCCCGCTAAGCGAAAATCCGGCTTTGTAGTACAGGCCTCTGATCCCCATTTGGGCATTTATTTACAGCAGTTACATCCAGTTACATACATATACTCACAATCATGGTCCTCAGTTAGCTTCTGCATTTCTTAAAGTTGTTGACAACATTTGCATGGACTGTTGCAGAAGTTTTCAATCGAAATCCTCATCAGATTTATTATTGTACCAGTTTGTTTGCATGTCTCATGCATAAGAATGACAAATATAGTGTAAGGCACAGAAAACCTATGGGTATGGCGTATGGCAGTATAACATCAAGAGTCACGTGCATTTTAAAATATACCCTTATATGGGTTACTTACTAGTACAATTAAAGAAATAGCTTGACACTTTATTTATTAGTTTTTTTGCAGAGTTAGATGAGACACGAGTCTAATGTCCGTAAAGTTAATAGGAAGTGTCAGCTAGCAGCCGGCTAGCTTAGCTTAGCACAAAGACCTTTCAAAGATATGCCAACCATTACAAATGTTTGTTTCTATGTTTTTGTTGTTGTACGAATTGAACAGACAACAGACGCATGTTATCAGACTTTCAAAAGTCCCAGGCTAGCTAATTCTACAACCTTTCCAATGCTTTGTTAGCAGTTTATGTTTATGAGGGGAAACTCAGGCAACTATCTAAGCTTCACAGTTACGAGACTCCATAGACAAAAACAGTATCTTTACCTTGCAGAACCTACAGAACGTTCTGGTCTAACGCTGCCTGCGTCACAGTTGGTGGTGTTGTGTGAATTTGGGGAAATCAAACCACTTTTTTTCTACTATAACCCAGCCTTTACAGTGAATGGGCAGAATCGGATAGATATCAATGTTCTCATCTAACTCCCGGCAAGAAAACAAACAAGCTTTTTCCCCCACAAGGTTAACCTATTTCAGCAAAGTCGTACAGCAAACTGTGGATGGCAGATGTGAGTGTGACTTACAGATGAGGCTGCAGAGGAAGCCTCAGCTCATTAGCAGGACATCATGAGGCTCTGCTATGAGCTCTGGCTCAGGGAAAATCTCAAAGCTAAACCTCAGTATCGATATACTGTGTGTGTTAAGGGACTGTTACCAACAACCTGACACCCCCTCCCTTAACAGGAGCCAAGTCAAACTAACAGCTACGTGATGCTTTTACACCCCAACACAAACTGAAGGGTAAACACACGTGTACGCTCGCTCACAGGCATGAAGACAGACATACTACACACTGGATTATGTTCATGGTGTTGGCTGTATTATCAGCTACGATCAATATATTCATGAGTTTTCTCGTTTGGAAATCCCTCTCACAGTGAAGGCGAGAAGCTGCAGTCGCACTTCGATTTACAGTCTACATTCAGAGATCATTTCAGTCGATTTCAGACCAATGGCTGAAATGGTCATCTTTTCTCAGCGCAACAACTGATAGGTAGAGTTCTATTCATGTGAGCACCTCTCGTGTGCGTGTGTACAAGCTGATTGTGCATGTGAAACAGATGCGAGCCATTTGTTTTAGCCATGCTTACACATACTGTACATGGCACAGAATAATGATTACACAAGTGTGTATCAGAAGTAAATGTTAACTGGTAATATATACAATACTATATTCATTTTAACACACATTTTCTATTTGTTAATTGTGTTTTGTATTTAACAGCATTGAAATGACAAATTACATCATGGCGTCATGGTGGTGTTAGATGCAGAAAGGGGAGGAAACGTTTTGCTTGATAACAGCGAGAGAGTATATAAATGTGGGTATACTGTCAGTCGGGGTAGATGAGGAAGCCAGAGAAGGTGCTGTATTTGTTGGTGTTCCCGCCGTGAACTTTTCCCCCGTCCAGCTGCACACACACTTCGTCCCCCACATCCAGGTGCAGGATGACACTGTTGGAGGCATAGTCGTAGTTCTGATCTGCATCTTGGGCGATTGCACTGGCCCTCACCTGAGACAAAGAGGAAAAACTGTGTTAACAGGCTGCTAAAGAAAAACGAATAGAAATATGGCAAAAAAAGAAAGTTGATAACCATGTCATGTGGAGGTTAGTTGGCATTTCAAGCCGTTATTATGAAGATATGAGGCAGAGAGATACTGTATATAACTAGGGTCTGGAGGTGCTGTGGCTGACAGTTGATATCTTAACCGCAAGGTTGATATTAAATATCTTCAACTCTGACTGTTCATATGAAAAGGAGTTAATGATTTTTGCCCAATTTTAGGGCAACTTCTTTAACAGCACAGAATTTGATGGGAAAACGTAATTCTCCACTGACATAATGTTTTTAGTCTGAGCTACTTTTTGAAGTGAAATGTAATATAGAGTTAGAGCCTCGTCATGAAAATGTGAGGCAGGTTACTTTCTAAAGGCAAGACAACTCAGCTACTACTAGCTACTCTTTACAAACACTATTTCATATTAGTTACATTCTCTTTCTTTCTCTTTGATGTAGATTTTGCATTTAGCTTTGACGTATACAGTATAGATGCATTCACGGCCATTATCTTGAATAAATATGAATGATTGATTTTTACTGGCTAGTTAGCTAGCAATATTTCATTAGGGAAATTGATTAATCAGTCTTATCCATATGTCCCTACGAGCCTCTGCTCCCATAATCCTCTGCTGAATCTCAGCTCCTCTTGTAGCCCCAATACACTTATGATCACTTGCAAAGGAGGCATGTTCACTACAGCTATCTAAATGTTAATTGCTGGTTTGAGGAGATAGTCATGGCAGAAATATGGATTAGTATGCATGTAACATTAAGAAAGTATCCATATATACAGTGATATAACGCAGAGTGGTTATTAAGAATAATCCTAATTGAAACAGGAAATGTTTAAGATTAAGTGTTTTATTTCACAGGCTGATGACTTTAATAGGTTTATCGTTTTCATCTATGACCCTAAAACCAGTGTGTTCATGTTATCTGGATGTAACTGGTGCCATTTCATTTCCTGTTGCATTCTGTGATCTTGGTGTAATGTCATCGGTACAGATGCCTTCCTGTCCACTGGTTAGATAGATGAGATGTGCACTGATCTCTGGCCTCAAACCTCTATCTGAGAGCACAACCTTTCTTAGCCGCCATCAATTTTCTGCTCTCACACCTGATCCACTTGTTGCAGAGGAGAGGCTGATGGGGATTGCAGGAAGGGCATCAGGGAGGACATCAGTTCATTCGTGGAGCAATATCAGTAAACACAATGAGCGTGCAGACATACACCCACTGGGTGCTGATATCTGGATATTTTTGGTTGCAGCTAGTTTCAATTGTTTATGACATTAGCTACCAACTATTTCAGGCAATTATGGTATTCAGTTTTCTAAGCTTGGCATATGTTCACCTTTTCGCTGGTGAACTTAATGGTAAACAGTTACCTATTTGTCATGGATATGGAGCAACATGAGCATGAATGTGTGCCCCTGATTAATCATATCCTATACATTTAGCTCTACTCTTCACCAACTCCTGAGAAAAATATCTGACTCTTTGGCTGCTAAATGATTCTCTAGGTTTACCAGCAACTTTTTGACCAGCCTGCTACAGCCTCAGATTTTGCTGGTGATAATGAACCAGAACAGTGAGCTGAAACTTACAAAAATGCTTCACAGCCATACGTGGAAAATGTTATGTGGTAAGTGGCTTCACACTTTTATGTAATAAAATGTTATCGGGCCACCTATAACTAAAATAAATGTACAGCGAGCGAGTGAGTGGCTTAATTATTTTTGAGCAATTTAAATTGATTAACATCATCTTTATCTTTGAGTTTTTAAATAACATGAGGAAACTGAAATACATTTAAATATGAAAAAAACGAATTAATATACAGTATATATGTTAATCTAAACATGAAAAATACACATTTGCAAGGACAAAGAGGGTTGAATGACACCACACCCTCAAAATGACCAATCAATGTAATCAACACCACACAGTTACAACAAGAGCCTGCTATTGTCAGCTTCATAAACTGCCATTCAGGCCTGCCATACAGCAATTGCTGGTATTCAAAACAAACACACTGAAGATGCATCATCTAGTGTGAAGAACACACAACCTGGAGCCTGACACAGTTTTAAAAAGTAATACCGTCTGATGAGCCATTCTTCACGCTTTTATCTCCATCTGGACAGGTTTATGTGTGAGGATGTCTGATTAAAACATTGGATTGAACTTGATGCTGGAGCTGTAATGGTAGTACCAGCCGTTAAAAAGGAAGTTGTTACATCTGAGGATTACCACACGTGTTTACATAGCACTTAACACAAATATGATACCGCAGAACTAATGATGGCTGCATAGTCCAAGATCATAATGTTCCCATACATGTTGCTCTTAAGAAGAGGTTTCATTATGACCTAAATCAAAGAAACACCTGCATTAGCCTTCCTAGTCCTAATGTTTTACACAAAAGATGTGCAAAAAGCTTTTTCTTTAGCAAATAGGATAGGCTTATTCATCATGAAGGTGTTTCTGTTAAATTCCAAGATGTTTTCGCATCAAATAAGCAAATCTGATAATAAATTGCACTATCATTTGGTAAGTAAGCAACTATTCAAGCAGACGATCCATTTAATACTGGAAAATAAAGTACACAAGCACATACATATTAATGAATGCAAATATGATACCCTCACTCTATCCTTGTCTCCTGCTCTCGTCCATCATCTCCACCAGTCATCAATAGGACAAATGAAGAAAGACTAAACAACACATTTCTACTCATCCTCCATTAAATGGTGATTTTTTTTTCTCCCACCCATTTAATCAATTCAGCGTTATATATTTATCCATACAGGCGCTTCTACCACGTAAAGAAGGTGAACATTTTTATTCCCCACCTGGGGACAGAAATGAATTGGTGCATTTCTTTTGTTTTAATTCAACTCACATCACTGCATTAATTGTTGTCTTTCGCTCCACACCTCACGCCCCTTCCATCACCCCTTTCCCATTTGCAACCCCAACGCTATCTCTTCATTCTGGACCCATCTATCCATCTTTTTGTGTCCTTACACTCCAATTAGATGCAGGTCACGTACACATTTTCTCTCCCCCGCCATGGCAGTGTTGGCGGGAGCAGCGACTAAGTGTGTCCCTGTCCGGTCTAAATCGGATTGATTAACGGCGTGCTGCTGTGGCAGGTCTCCTGAGGACCCCTACATCCCTCCCCACATCCCCCTCTGCAGCATCCCTCACCCCTCCCTACCCCAAAATACGTCAGGGTGGGCTATACACGGCTGCAGGCTACGGTAATTGGTAGTCGGATAGCCATGGCAGCTCCCGGACTAATAGGTCCAACTCCTCAATAACTCCATACAATCACAATAAATGGGGGCACAGGATAGGCTACGTTGGTCAAATGGGCCCATGAAACACTAGCAAGGGGTCACGATAAGATCCCACATATATACACACACACACTCCATCTCGTTCTCCCTCTACATCAGCTCTCTTTGTGTTTTATGAATCTCAAGTGAACACCTGAATAAAACCACGCAGCATATGAGACATTTGTTATTTTACTGTTGGAGTGTTTTGCTCTGGAGGGACTGAACAGCTCCCCTGAGTAGACCTAATAGGTTTTAGGAAATATATAACAGCAAAGAGATTCTGACATCTTGTACGTCCAACATCTGTCTACATGGTTGAACGGCAGGATTCCCCTGACAGTATAGACTCTAGAGTTAGAGGCTGACAGGCTGCTGTAACCTGCTACAAATACAGACAATATACAGTTACAATTAAAAGCTGGTTTTCCTCTTTGCATGTGCATACATAAATGCATTTATCTTAATAAGTCTGTGATAAACTGCATGCATGATATTTTTTAAACGTCCTAAACAAAGAAGATCGTACAATTTTCAAACATGAAATACTTAAGATTGAAATATCATGGAGAAAACTATATAAAAACAAAGATACAATAAGATGAGACTGCCGGGTTCTGCCTACTCGTATGTTTACGGGTCCTATAGGTTGCGGCAGTGATATTCACACCACCTCATTGAAATGGCCTTTTAAACGTGAACATCAGCTAATTATATTTGCCAGCCAAAAGGACACAATGTTATTTATGGCTTTTTATGGTTGACTTCATTATAAGACACCCAGGTTTACTTATCCTCGACTCCACTAGACAGTGGAGATGCTGACATTTAGTGTGTTATGTTTATGATTAATTCATGGTTGCATTCCCCCTATTTATAATACCCCAATGGACAATGTAGCTACTTTATACATTTAATGCACATATTTGTAAGAGTGTGGCATTTAAGATATTATCACAGTCATCAAAATGAGTTGATAATGAAATGATCAGCATCAAAGTGATTGAAGAACAAGACTACAAGATTATTTTTATTTATTAAAAAACCAAATATGTGTTTACATAATTTGACCATTGTAAAATGGACCATGAGTAGAAAGGGAGAACTGTGCTGTAGTACAATTTAGTTGTATTTACTGTACTTGAGTATTTTGATTTTATGCTGCTTTATACTGTCCTACTTTTATCTAACTGATCTTAATTTTACCGATTGCCTTAAAAAAAGACTTAAATGTAGCTAAGATTAAGATTTGTAAGATCTTTTGCTTCCTGCTTTTGAGTGAAAGACTTTAACTCGTAACTGATCATTTATACATTGTTTCATTAGAGATCATTCTTCACTTAAGGATATAAAATAAATACTATCTCCAACACTATGCAATATATTATAATGTATTTGACCAAGCCGGAGCCTTTGACATAGCAGAGCTGCAGGTCCGGCTGTCAGAAACAATCACAGTGAAATCCTTTTTTCTCAAAGTGTGCAGGAAGCGCACCGGGGCTTTGAGAGTGAAAACAAGAGGGAAAGGCAAATCAGGATTATTGTCAACAGCGGCGGAGATTGATAGCGACAAGGGAGTGGGTTTCTGTCTGTTGGCTCAATGCTGT